TATTACGTACACATAAAAGAAATCAACACACCCAGAACAGAGATCAGCCGATCAGGCTACTGGAAAAGATAAAATTCAATCCGTCCTGAGTGAAAGCGAGGTGCGAGCAGCAGCTTGCGTTTCAAGTTGCCGAACCCGGGAATCAGCTGAATGAAATGGAGGTTCCTAGTTGGTCTCCCATACAAGTACTAACCAGGCCTAAGTCTGGATAGCTTCTGAGATCTGACAAGATCAGGCATTTTCAGACTGGTATGGCCATAGATATGCGTTCCAATATATCCGGCAAGCAAAGCCGGTCTGCGTCCTGCGCATGCGTTCAAGCGACATAATTAAAGCCCCGAAGTGGCTATAACGTGTATGTGTAGGAAAACAGAGCAAAAATAATTATGAACAGCTAGAAATACCCAAGGAGCCAAATAAAGCTCCTATATAAGGCAAATGGATAATAAGAAGAAATATGAAAAAAACAAATAAATAGAAAATAAAGAGCCAATAACAAAATATATGAAAGAATACTGAAACTCAGTATTAAAGACAACTGATAGCCGACAACAGATGTAATACCAATATGAATGTCATCCTGATGATAAAGACGTACAATAATATATCCATTGATCAAGACTAAACATAATTAGTACCAACATCCAAATAATAATAGACAACCAAAGTCATTAAAGGGACAAGGATGCATGCATATCTAGTCAATGTTCAGAGAACTTCAGAGAATGACAGTGTGGAAGCAACCTGCTGTATATCATTGGCAAAAACACTAAAAACTTCCTTAACCTCTGAAACCTCATTGCAAGCCAAATCATTTGTCCCTAGAGAGACAAGTACATCCAATTCCCCTTCCTGCTTTGCTTGCTTAATGATATTACAGATACGTCTCCTGTATCTGTGAGCAGTAGCTCCGGGAAGACACCTCACAAGACCACCATTGTCCCTCTCCACACCTCTTATAATGGAATCCCCCGAAAACAACTGCTTTCTATTAGGCCTCACCATAGTCTCCAAGCCGGTCTCCACAACACCACTAGCCTCAGTGCCTCTCTCCACAACACCACTAGCCTCAGTGCCTCTCTGAAATTAATATGTAATATGTTACAACTCTAAAAATAGGGGGTAAAACATGTAAACATTGATAAATGGCAAGCCAATTGTATAATATGAATCAAAGACCAGCAAAATTGAAAGAAACTAAAATTGTTTCTACATATATATATATATTTGTGTTAGGTGCTCACGATTGTACAGAGTAAAATACCATAATTAAATGTAGGATAGTAAAAAGGGCAAGTTGGTTGTGGTGTGCCGGAACCGACGATGAGGTAGGAATGAGAAAGAAGAGGGCCTACCCAGGAAAAAGAAATAGAAAGGAGATAAATGTTAAAATGTGGTGTGGTGGGAGGGTCATTCAACGCTGACCTCGAACGGTAAGGAGCAAGGTAAGGGGTGTGCCTTAAGTAGGCTAGGAGTGGATACCAAGCACCTCCCACAAATCCAGGCAAAATTGCCTTAATACTTGTGTTAAGTGTTCATGATAGTACAGAGTAAAATACCATAATTAAATGTAGGATAGTAAAAAGGGCAAGTCGGTTGTGGTGTGCCGGAACCGACGATGAGGTAGGCCTGAGAAAGATGAGGGCAAAAATTAAGTAATCAAATTTATTACAGACAACCAATACAGATACATATATCAACCAGACATGTTTTTGAAAGCATCCCTTAATTCTTGTACTGGGTTCGGTATGTATCGTGAGTAAGCGGATGACTTCCAGCGCTGCAGTGTTTTTATAACATGAACTGGAATGTTGACACTGCAGGCTGTGGACGCTGCTCCTATGCGGAAGGAGTGCCCTGAGTAGTTAGCTGCTTTGAGGCCCAGTTGAGTGAGCAAAGACCTGATGTAGGTCATGAAGGTTGTAGTGGTGAGTACCGAACTTTGTAATAGTAGTAATGGTTGTGATGGTATTGAATTATGATGCTGTAGGTATGCATCCAGAACCTTGACGGGGCACCACTTTTTGTGCATGGGGTAGTATGGAATGTTTACTGGTATGTGCTGGCTGGTTTTGGAGTGAGGTAGCGTCAGGATGTAATGATCCATGTGTTTTGTTAAGTGGGAATAGAGGAGAATAGGAGCAGATTGTGTTATGTTGGTTGTAGTAAACTCTCTGGGTCTTAGGAATCCACAGAAAGCTATGTATATTGCTGCTTTGATGGCAAAATTTGTATTTGTGTCAAAAGGATTTAAATCAAGCAGGTTAGATAATGCCTTGAAGATATGGTTATCTATGGGTAGCCTCTGTGATGTACGTGTGGGTTCAGATTTCTGAATGCCTCTGAGTATGGTCTTGATCTGGTGAGAGGCCATGAAACTAGTGTTGTTAGGATGTAAGATTAGCATATGGTGTTGAATGCCTGTGAGATAAAGTTTGATGGTGTTATAAGATATTTTAAGTTTAAGGTGGCAAAAAGAAGCAAACCCAAAAAAGATGTCATAACAAATGGTTGCATGATGTTATGTTCCAAAAGGAATCTTTTGAAAAGTGTAAAAGCCCTGTCGTATGTTTTGTGTGTATTTTTTGACAGTGCCAATTGGGACAGTGTCCTGCTATGATGCATGATGATGTCTAGTCTAGTATTAGTTGTTGAAATGTTGGAGTGGTAGTGGCTGTGAGATCAGCTGACGGGAGTGCTTGATGAAATCCCTGAAATTTAAAACGAGACAAACTGTCAGCAGCTGTGTTACATATTCCTGGAACATGGAAACAATATAGAAAGAAATTATGACAAGCTGCCAACCACGTGAGTTTCCTCAGAAATCTCATGATCGTAAGGGATTTGGAGCGACCTTTGTTGATGATGTGACAGGTTGCCTGGTTGTCTGAGTAACAACGAACTGGCATATTTGCCCATAAATGACCCCATGCTACGGCAGCGCCACAATGGGATAGATCTCAAAGAGAGCTGAGGTAGTGGAAAAACCTTCCAAATCATGAACTGCTGTAGGCCAGCTGCCCCAAAGCCCAAATTGCTGCAAAACCTGTGGTAGATGCTCCATCTGACCAAATAGTAGGTGATGAGTCAGTCAATTGAGGGAGGAACATACTTTTACCATTCTAAGTGGTTAAAAATTCCTTCCA